GTTTGCTTATCCAGTGTCCATTGTTAACTTTACTATAACATCTGTGTGAAAAGGTGCGTTGTTCTACTTGTATGCATGGATTTGCATGCTAACTGCAAACGTCTTCCCTCCTGTGTGGCGGAAAACTCACTTTAAGGATCGTTCCACCACCTGAAACGATTTAGTGTCTTACTCTTAACTGGAAGTGGGTGCCTCTGGGATTTAAAATTTGTGTTTTCTTATGTTGTAAATCAATTACAGTGTCTGATAATCAATCATGCTGATTGATTAATACAAAGTTTTACCAAAAGCAAAGGTGAGGGCTGAGCTGAGGGTGGATAGGTGGCGCAGAGAGCTCTGTTGATGCTACTGTATTTTCCATTGTGGTCTCCCTACCTTGCTGTTAGCTGCATCCCTGTATCAGCAGAGTAGGCTAGCGGTACCCACTCAACCTGAACACAGTACGTGTTATATTAAACGATGGTTTGGGGAAAATAATTTGTCTCAATTAATTTAGTGAACAAGGTCCTCGCAACATTTGAGTGTAGTGGTTATAATGTTTGACACCACACACTAGTGTAAGATAAATTATAACCTGATAAGTGTTAAACTAAAACCATTTAAGGTGTGAATTTCAACTCTGTCTGTGTAAACCGTTTACTTTATAATATTGACACTTTACACACAATTTAGCTCCCTAGGAGCTGAATTAAAACTTCCACATTTGCAGTGACATGTTCATTCTCATATTTAGGATTTTCCTGCAAAAATCAGCTATTTAAGCCCCACTAAAGACCGGTATGAATGATCTGGCAGCCTAGAGAAAAAAGAAACTGAAATAAAAAGGGTTGTATCCAAAGATGCAGTTTTTTGTAGAGAAATCATCAGAGCAGAGCAAAATGTTATATAAAATAGAATATATAACATTTTGAATAATAGACAAGACCCTCATAAATTATGCCACTGTCTGCTGAATATGTATATGTTTAAAGTACTTCAAATGATTTTTTTAGAGTATATGACATAAACTGACGGTGTCAAGTTGCAGCTGATGTATGCAACTTGAGCTGGGCAGAAATCAATAGGTCGATTGGATATACTCTACCAAGATGAAAAACAAACATAGAGAAAGATCTTAGTTTGTATGCCTGTTGTGTTTTTTAACCAAATTAACAAAGAATCATTGTTTCTCTGGAATACATTATGAACACTGAGGAGTTAAAAATGACTTTCTTTTATCTAAAGGACAGACATATGCAATGGGTATGTCAGAAACCAGACAGCCATTAGCAGCGCTGCATTATGTGCTAATGGCATGACTCACTTAGGTCTTAGGGGAAGAACAGAAATTAAAGAAGAGATGAGAGTGGGAAGGAGAGGGAGGGAGAGAGATGGAAAGATAATACTATGGATGGTTTGCACTGAGAATTAAGATCGAGACCTGCAAATATAATGGGACTTTTAAGACTAGACAGGAAATGCCAGAACACTTAAGCTCAATGCACGATCATCTACACACTACAGTAAACTGTGAGCATAAATGGATAACAAATTCATGTGAAAAAGTGCAAATAGCCTAAACTAAATAAGATTCCAGGATTAATATGCAGAGGATCTATTATGCATCATGAACTTAGAAAATCTGAGTATTTCAGACAATTTGAATCACTGATGGGTGTTTCTATAATAATTATCAAAAAATGTGTGAGAAACAACACAGAAAGTGTTTTCCAGAAAAAAAAATCTTATTTTTCTATGTCCCAGATGTAAATCTTATTGAGAAACTGAAGGGTTAACAGAGAGAAGAGTGAAAAGGAAATTTGATAAAGACTTCCTTTCTTTCTGCATGTTCAGAATTTCTGATCTATTGTAGGATAAAAATAAAAGCAGGTGAAAAAGATGAAAAAAATCAAAACTATATAAAAAAAAGTACTTCTAATGGGCTTTTCTCAACCAAATAAATGTTCTAAAATGAAGGCGTGGGCCCCTTTATATTTTTTATATAGAAATGATTTTCCATTACTTGGAAAATACAAAATGAAAGGATTTTTTATTGTTTTACAAATGACATTCCAGGGCTCTAGATAAGCATGATTGATGTTACATATACATATGTGTTCAGGTTTGCAATGTTGTAATTCTATCTATTGCATGAAATGGATTTATTTTAGACTGACTAGTCCAGAAACACTTATGCTGAAAAAGCTATGTCTCATCACTCCAACATTGTTCTGGCTAGTTTCCACTGAGCATAATAAAGTCCCAGTAAAACTGACCTTTGAACTTATGAAATAAAGTTTTATCATCTCATCTGAGGGACTTTTGTAAGAAACTAGTCAGAATTAGATAATGAATTCTTTTGATTTATTGTTTGAGGTCAGAGCTGCTGAGACCTTTCACTTCCGACCAGCAAGATTTAATCACATCTTTGTTAAAGTTCTAGTGAACATTGGTGCTGAACTGGAAACTTCTCCAAGCATTCCTGAAGGGTAGCTCATGGGAATGAGGAGCAGTTTGCAGAAACGGTATGGACAGTGCTAGCCTGGAAAAGCATCATGATTCAGGAGGAGAGTCACGAACTGCATTTTTTAGTCAAATAGTATGACAGTCTTTTATTGTTTTTTTTTTTCTTTCAAATGTGAAAAATTGGAAAATCAGTTAAAACTCAACAATGTAATTTTTATTCATTCCATTAATGATACGAAAAGAAGTTCCAAACATTTTATTAAGAGACAGAGATGACAATATAATATCATTCAAATATAGTCTAATAAGTAAATAACTTTTTGTTATTTACTTATAAATTAAATAGAATTTCTGAGCTGTTACTGTATGCTGGTCTGAAGAAACATTTTAATTAGAGCTTTCTTCATGTTACCTACTAGCAACCAACACTTCTGTTTATTGAATTGTGCTTTTGGAAAAGGAAAGAAAATATTTGAGAGACACTGAATTTTTGTTTATGTTCTGTAAGCAATAAAAATAACGAGTAAGATATAAAAACTTCTAAAACTGAGTGTGATAAGAAACTACATATTGTGATTTGCCATGTTTATCTTTTAATTGCACTGATGAAGTACAGAAAGTGGATGGATGGATGGATGGATGGATGGATGGATGGATGGATGGATGGATGGATGGATGGATGGATGGATGGATGGATGGATGGATGGATGGATGGATGGATGGGGAAACGACATGGGCTATAATTAACAAGCATCAGTCCTCTGAAGACAACTGACTTGTTTTCTCTTGGTTTATGAGAGTGAAGGTGACAGAAAAGTCTGCCACACTATTTAAATTTTACAATTAGTCAAGAAACAAATATAGATATTATTTCTCCTCATTTCATACAAACAGGAAACATAAACACACACAAGGGCGGAGCTAGAAGTGGGGGCCAGGGGTGGCCATGACCACCCTTAGCCAATTATTGGCCACCCATGTGGCCACCCCTACCATTTTTCTTTCTCTCAAGTAGAATATTCAAAACATTTTAATTGTATATATATTAACAGTTACTTGACAACAAAAACACTGTGGTTAAATATGCACATCAATATACCAACTTTAGAGATGATTAGTACAGAATTCATGCTTTTTCAGAACTAGATTTTGTTATATGCCGTAAAGAGAAAATTATGTGTCTCTTCAAGTCATCTAAGAGTCCTCAGTGAAATCATAGATAGGGTAATTAACTATTTTAATAAAAACCTATTAAATTATCAATTTATGTAGATATTAGTACTTGTAAATATCAATTTAACCCCTAGAACCCTACGGACCCACCGGCGGGTCCAGCTGCTACGTGACCTCGTAATTTTACCAAACCCCCAGTATTGATGTAAAAAACATATTTGGCACAGTTTGGTGACATTTATGGATAAATGTGCCAAAATGGCCTCTCCGCCTAAGAAATTTCTCACTAATACCATTCTAAAATAAATATGATTCATCTGATTGAGTCCAAATTTGGTATATTTTTACACAATATTTACATTTGAAAGTCTGTACTACTTTTTTGTGCTATAAATAATATTTTGGTAGTGTTTATTTCAAAGAAAATTTTGGCGAGGTTAAAAAAATGCAAAATATTTTGTATTTTGTCCCTAATATGTCAGGCAGGGTCAAAGCTACAATGGTGCTGACACCAGAAAACCATTCTATGACATCTTACCTTTACAGACGTACCAAAAGTTTCTTCTTAAATCTAATAGCTTTGAGGCTATAAGTTATTTACTTTTGTGTGTTTTTGTCAGGCAGAAATTTATTTATACCCCCTTAGGGTGTAAGAGGTTAATGCAGAATGATATTGATAAAAGTAGGTAAGTAATGACGATGGAAAAGATGTTCGCTCCAGAACTCAAACCTGAAAGAATTTTATCCAATATACCTTTTATCTAGACAGATGTTTAAATATATGCATCTATTTGTTAGCAAAGGCTGTAGGAAACTATAGTTTGTCTTTATTTGGAAAATATGGACGTTGTGCTTGTTCCTGTTGGAACAGTGTAGATTGACCCTGAGATTCTGATGCCTTTCCACTTTTGGCCAACCCTCAGTATATATTGGTTATTGCCTGGCCACCATTATAAAAATGTTCTGGCTACGCCTTTGGACACACTAAATAATCCAAACCCAAGCCAAGTTACAGAAGAGAACTTGAGTCATTTGAAGAAAAAAAAAAATCACACAATTCTGAGATTAAAGACATATTTTTTAGATGAGTTTATAAAAAAGGGAAACATGAATTGCAGAAAGTGGGGGACTAATATAAGAACCAAAGGTATTTCAAAGTTTTGGACTGAAAAGTCCAATCGACTCTACAAAAAATAAAAATAAATAAATAAATCTTAGTGTCCAAGAAAGAATATAAGACTGAAGGAAAATCGAAATATGTTGACCAAAGTGTCAGAATGGTCTATGTAACTCTAAATGACTTCACCGCGGTCAAATTAATTCTGGTTAGTAGGTGTGTGCACACACCAAAAACAGCAATAGGCAATTCAAGTTTTCAGCCAAAAGGGAACTCCCACGCTCCTCATCCACGGAAACAAACGACAGAAGCTGCATATCTGCAGCAAGGAGCGCAGAGTGCGCATCGATCAGCCCAGCCTAGTCCCAGGAGACAGAGACGCTTTGGAGGACGAACAGCGGTGAGCTTTGTCCATTTACTTTGGGATGTCTTATTTTAATTAAAATCAGCGGAAATTTTGGAGTTTTTTCCTTCGGTGGACAAAGTTTAACCTGTCGCTTTGTTCGCAGGGATGGAGCTGGACCTTCTGCTGTGGATTATGATGCTGAACTTGATGGGACGCGCATCACCGGACCCCAACCAGTACAGCAGAGCGGTGGTAAGTGGACCCAAAAAGCGCTTAATTGAGTTTTCTAGGTTTCATATGTGGTGAAAATCCCTTATCTTTAAAAGTGGCACAATTTCTTTGTTGTCTTTTATGGCAAAAGCAAAAATAGCGCGTAAAAGGCGCTCTAAACAAACACCTAGATGCATAAGATGCTGTATTAAATTAAATATTTTTGTTTACAGTTTTAAAGAAAAAAATACCTTTTTACATGATGCAACTAAATCAATAACACGACAAATAAATATAATAGAAAAAAGAATAAAAACACCATATTTCTATGTTTATGGGCTAGTTATGAGTCATTTATGGGCTTTTCCTTCCTGTAACTGAAGCTGATATTGATTCAAATGAAAAATAAATGTCAAGGTTTGCTATGGGCAATATACAGATCAACCCAAAGGAAATCTACTTACTATATACTGAGAGTGTAAAGCCACAAAAAGACTGTTACCACGCCTTTTCCTTCCAGCTTCAGCATCAAACGCTTAAGTTAGGGTGGAACCAATATGGTTTCAAAATCACGAGTAAAAGAATAAGATTTGTCTCTGTTTTCTTACCACATCAAGCTATTTCACTAACATTAGTTCTCTTTTTTGGATTATTCTGAAGAAAACATGTGCTCATATATGTTACTCACACAATGATGATTTGAAGCCATCATGTAAAAGACTCTATACCAGTGGTATTTAATTTAGTATTCTCTTTGACTGCCTTTGTTTGAAAACCAACAAGTAATTTACTGTCAGCAAAAGAAGAAGCTGCTTCTTTTTTTCCGTCACTCATTCAGGAAATTGCTTCATTTGTTTTAGTTTCCTTGTTTCTTTCTTTGTTGAGGATTGGCTGAGCAGATATGGTTACCTTCCCCCTCCGGACCCCCGCACCAGCAAGCTGCAGACTAAAGAGGGGATTGAGCAAGCAATTCGTGTTATGCAAAGATTTGGAGGGATCCAGGAAACTGGCCTGATGGGTAATAATGACATATGTGTCAAAATTCATGCAATTTGTAATATAGTGCTTTGCGAAAAGTTATGTTACTATTTCAACATTTTTGTTGTTAAGGTGCAGTTGCTATCACCAGTGTGTTTTATTGGATTTTCATCTGTTACACCATCACAAATAGATTTTTAACTCAGATGTGAAAGGAAAAAAATTCAAGGTTTTTTAAACAGAAATCTAACATTATGCCATGCGTTGTACTATCTAAATGAAACTTTACCCTACAAATAACTGTATGTAGCACAAGATTAATGCACCAAATATACTTTACATAATAGACCATACAAATAAATAACATTGGGTTAACCTACAATGTATATAGCAAAACATCTGAATGTAATTATTTTGACTGGCTGAACAAGAAAATGTTAATTGAGGTACTGAACTTTTTTCTGTGTTCATTACCTCAATTACATTTTCTTGTTGAACCAGTTACAGTATTTACATCAAAAAAATTACTACAAAAATTGCAGGTTAAGCTGATATTTTCAGTTCAACATCATGTTGTGTGAATGCTTCTCTGCAACATGGACATTCATGCTCAAACCATTCTTATAGATGTTTATTTATTTAGCAGTTTATGTGAGCCTTTAGCAAACAAAATAGCATTCTTAGAGGATTCCATTTCCATAAAACCTATTTTCTGCTAACTGTGTGGCAGGTGTTTTCCCCGTATTATGGGTCATGTGTAAAGTCAGGCAACTTTTTTTGAAAATTTTGAATGCCTGCATGTTCCTTGTGGAAACAGAACATGCTACTCATGCATATTGTGCAAAATCCATGAGAACTACATGTCGTGTTCTGACAAAAGTACGATTTAGAACCACATTGAGAGGAGAGCAGGGATTGTGTTTGTAATTCAGCAGAAATAGTTTAAAGGGTTGGTGCATGAGTTACATTTACATATTATGAACACTAATCAGAATCAGAAAACTTTATCATTCCTTTCTAATGCAACGGTCAGAAATACAAAACATTACCCTTAATTTAAAAAAACCTAACTGTAGGTATAAGAATTTAGAATAGTTATTTGTTTTGATCATAGGGAAGGACTAACGCTGACCTGTCCGTAAGAGAGGCCCCTGATCCAAGTCTTTGATCAGACGCGACTCTCCCAGACTGATCCCAGATCTCTGTAACGAACAATGATAATTCTAGAGCTCAATTTAACAATGTTGTTCAGGTTGCTCTTGTCTCTCATGAGTATGAGCAGATGGTAATCTCACTGCTCTGCTCTTTTCTCTAATAATATCAGTGTTTACATCGAGTTACCATTTGTTTTCAAACAGATTTCCCAAGTATTTGTAGTTCTTGAGGATTTGCACTTCTTCACCATTGATGTCACAGGCTGGTGCTGGTTACCTCCTTGCAGGAAGTCTAAAAAAGTTCAAGTCATCAGAGAATTTACCAAAGTTTCTGGCCGAGGCTTCGGCAGCTGTCTATATATAAAATAAAAAGGAGAGCTGACAACACACAGACCTGCTGGCTAAAATGTATGGAAAGTTTTTGAGTTGAGACATGAGGTTGAATCTGTCCAGCTTTTTTATTGTCATTATACTGTCACAAGTACAGAGCAACTAAATGAATTCCATGCATTTAACCCATCTCCTTCGGGAGCAGTGGGCTGCCATTGTGTGGCACCATTGTGCTGGAGCAGTGTGGGGTTAAGGGTTTTTGCTCAGGCCCCCTAAGTTGAAGTCTGTGGGAGTGGGGCTTGTACTCAGAACCTCTGGATTCCAAGCTCAATGCCCTATTGTGAATGTTTTTTAAAATCAGATAAAAGGTTTGCCAACAAGATCTGAGTGAAAGGTTTGGGATTCTTGAGGTACTTAAAGACTTTGTCCTATATAAAAAAAAATTGAATCCTAAAGCCCTTTACATGGCTGATATACCAACTGTAGGAATCAATTTTGTCAGCTGTGTAGGATACAATGATTTCTTTGATAATCCTTTGAAAGGATTTAATTATCAGTGGTCAGGGTGAAAATCGTTCTGTTCTTTTCATCTAGTTGACTTTGGGATGGGAAATATTGTCGAGCTGCGGATATTTGGAAAAGTAGTGTCATACTACCACTCAGCTGGTGCATGCAGTGTTGAAGGGTACATCCACAGATGCCGTCAGTTCTGCACATTTTCCTAATATTTACTGTTTTAGGAGAGCAGAGACCTTATTTTGGCATTTTGGCATACATTATCCTGCAAAGGAACAAGTGGCTGCTTTAGGTGACCGATTTCCTCCAAAGACTTGGGTGTCTTGAACTGAAAAAAGAGTTCATTAAAAGCATAATAATTCACAGCTCAGAGTCACTTATGCCAGTGATTTTTAGAATTTCTTTAGTATAAGATTGATTAATTGAGGCCAATGTTTTTATGACTCTCCAGTTGTTTTTTATTTTACCAAACTCCTTTGTCTTCTTTTTCTAATTCTGTTTTGCATTTCTGATCTCAGGTTTAATATATTTGTATGTCTTCCTGACCTTCTAGGTGTCACCAGAATAGAAATATCTTTTCTTTTTATTGGGCCTGAAAAACCACTTTCTGTTTGTAAATAATCGATGAAAAACCGTAGTAAAGGGCAGCCATAGAACAGTGACCCTACCTATACAGCTAGTAAAAAGGTTTAAGTTCCAAATATATTCATAGCTAGAATGGTCTAGTCAAAGTCAAGGTGTAAACCTAACTAAGAGTCCATGACAAGTCTTGAAGGAAACCACACATTAATAAACCCGCTTGGGTTTCTCAAAGTATTAATAAAGTATTATTGAATTTAATATTCTTTCCATAAAACATGTCTTAATCGTAGGTACTTTCTAAAGATAAGATGCTGCAATGGAAACAAAAAGATTATGTATAAAAGAAAGATTTCAGTTTGCTTTTGCTTCCACTTTTACGCTTTCAGAGTAATTTTATTTAATATAAAAATCCAAATAAATCACACTGAGAGTTGAGATTGTTCTTTTTGCAAAATATATGAAGTCCAATATATTGTTTAAGTTCCCCCTTTTTCCATTCAGTTTAAATACATAACATATAATCAACTCTTCCTTCAGACAAGGAAACGCTGAAGCTCATGTCCACTCCGCGATGCTCGCTCCCAGATATTGTTGGAGGCGAGGACATGAGGAGGAGGAGGAGGCGCAGGAAGAGATATGCTCTGTCAGGCCTTAAATGGCACAAGACAGACCTCACATGGAGGTGAGTTTCCTGTCATGCTGCTTCGTAGGTTTTGCACGCAAAGGCATGAATCATGATCTTTTTTTTTTTCTCAATATCTCTAGAGCAGTCATATTAATAGATGTTTATATACAGGGGTTTGATGAAGTAATGTTTGACTTGAGAGCGGAATTTAAAGAATGGGAACTGATTTAAACACAAGAACAAGTTTTAAATTGTTATTTTTTCTAATAAGAGAATCTGTGAATGGTCATAAATTATTAAATTGCAGATATTAACCTCTTCTTTCTAAAAACAAGATTGATATGTCTAGCTTCACCCTGGCTTTCAAAGTTTAATGAAAGATGGTTGAGGAACCAAATGCAGAGATTAGTTTTTGCAGATTTAATTAAAGAGGGCAACAGAAAGAAAATCCAATAACAAAATACAAGAAACCAAAAAAACAGGAGACGCCACAGAGAAACACAAACAGGGAGCAAAGCAATGAAGAGAAACCAGCACTGGTGAACTTTAAAGGAGGATAATATATGGGAGACAGAACCAGGAGTGGAGTAATCAGTTAATTGGGAGCAGGTGGGGACAGAAGCAGGTGGAAAGGAGCCAAGGGAAAGGAAAAGTGCACCAGGGGGCGACAAAGAGCAACCAGGCAAAAATAGGGCTTAAAGGGAAACACTTTTTTTTTTTTTACATTGTGCCCTTGATTTTACCTTATTACATCATGTTCTACCCATATGAGTTTTGTGTCATTTGGAGCTGTTCTGAAGATATTTAGTGAAAACGAAGCGTCATCTGCGCGCGCCGGCTACCATTCATTCATCCTGTCCACTGAACTGCTGATAGTTTTACTCACATGCCTGGAAGATGTCTAGTGCTACTACCACAGATGATCTCCCTCTCGAAATGGAATTGAACGATTCAGATTAGCAAGCCGAATGAATAGAAGGGGTTGAGCATAGCCGCCTGTGGCCCGGGCTGCCTGTCACGACTCCAGTCCGGTGCGAGGATGACGTCTTACACACGCCGCTTTGTTTTTAAAAGATATAAATATAAAAAATATAACTGCAGATGTCTGGGGTACAGTGATTCGCCTTCATGTTATGAATGCTGGCGTACCATAAAGAATAAATTATGAACAGTTTAGTTTGTGCCTTCAAGTCGTTGCCCATAGGAAGACGTAACTTGGATATGAGAATGTGTTGGTAATGTGGCCAACGTGTTGGTAACACCTAAACCTACTTTGGTCTCACTTATTTCAGTCAAGTTCAGACTTATTGTGTCATAGAAGAAGCTAAGTAAATATGGGGGAGTTTCAAAACAAAGCATAGACATTCTAAGGAAAATGTTTGTTAGTTTCAAAAACATACTGATTGTCAAATATGGTGATGGTAGTGTGATGATTAGGGGCTGATTTTCTACTGCAGTACATCGCTTTAATTTATTGAATCATAAGTTATTCTGTCTTGGCAAAATAATTCTTTATATATACACACACACACACACACATATATATATATATAAATTTAGGGAGAATATCTGAGAGTGCAGTTCATGCCCTAAAGGCCATACTTAGGGGCTAGGTCAAGAGAACAGGATGAAGAAAAACAAGAAATTTTTTTTACTTTCTGGACCTGGATTTTCCACCTCTAGTTTAAAGCAGCCTAATCAAAGACATGACTTGAATACAATGCAGAGGCATGAACTTGACAGGCCAATCATCCTAAGAAACGTCCATCAGGGCTAAACTAAAATAATTCTGGAAAAAACGTATCCCCTGTGAAGTAATTTGAGTGTTGCTGAAAAATATGAAATTAGCAGCAATATAAATACCCTTTAAAAATAACAACATTTCAGTAGGTGCAAACATTTGACTAATCCCTTACTATCTTGCCATTTGTTGGGGGTGTTTTATGAAATGTTATTAATCCTACATGTTATATTTTTATTGAACTGTAAGGGGAAAAAAGACATAATTGTTTTTTTACTTGCAGCATCCACAGTTATCCAACATCCTCTGTATCGCAAGGAATGGTGGATACTCTCATAGCTCACGCCTTGAAAGCTTGGAGTGACGTTGCTCCGATAAACTTCAGACGGCAGCAAAGTGACGGCAGCAGGGGCGAAGGGGGTGGAGACATCAGGGTGTCTTTTGCCAAACTGCTTCATAACGATGGCTACCCTTTCGACGGGGAGGGCGGCACCCTGGCCCACGCCTTCTTTCCTGGTCTGGACGAAGTCTCTGGAGACACCCACTTTGATGACCATGAGATCTGGAGTTACGGAGGTATATATCAACAAAAGCTAGATTTTTCAGTTGATGTTAAGGTTGTAGATGGCTAGAGAAACAGAAAAATGGCAAAATTTTCAAGCAGCACTTTTTTTTTTTTTACTTGTGTTTCCACTTGCCTTGCATAGGTGGCGGCAGCACCACAGACTTGTTTACTGTAGCAGTGCATGAATTTGGCCATGCTCTTGGTCTCTCCCATTCCTCCTCTGATCCGTCCATCATGAGACCGTATTACCAGGGACCTGTGGAAGACATTCCCAAATTCAAGCTGGAGTTGGACGACAGGCTGGCCATCCAGCAGCTGTATGGTCAGTAACGCTCTGAGTGTGGATCAGAATCTTGGATAGAAGTGTTTCACCTCATATCTAGAGTAATTATTGAACACTTAGGTAAATGTAAAGCCTCCCAGGCATGTTGGTTTATAGAATAAAGAGTTCCCTGTCAAGCAGAACAAAAACTTATCTTTGCTTTAAATTTATAAAGATTAGATCTTTTTAATGGGAACTTGTTTTCTTTTTCAAAAAAAGAAATAAATGAGGAAGCTGCAGCTCATCCACGATGCTGCTGCCAGAAGCCTGATCAACACCAGGAAGATGAATGATATAACACCAGTTGTTAGATCATATGACTGGTTCCATGGATCAAACAGTCTAACTAATTAACACATTTTTTTCTGTTCAAATAAAGTGTGAGATAGAAGATTTCATTTGGATTTTAAAAAACTGTTCTGCTAATATATGCTTTAGCTCTCATTATTGGCAAAGCAGGAATTTTTTTTTGCTTGATTTTCCTTAGATGTCCTTTAAAGCAGTGGTCCGCAACCTTTCTTGCACCATGGACCGCTATATGTCACACAATATTTTCACGGACCGGCCGGGGGGTGGTGGGGGTATAAAATCAACTACAAACAGCATAAAAATAAAACTCACCGTTATGTTGAATTAGTGGGAACCCTGAGCTTGTTTCTCTGAAACAAGCTGGTCCATCTAGGCATAATCGGAGACAATGACACACGAAGTGGGCTCCTGATGTCCAGTCTGCTCTGTAGCTTTGTTTCGGTCGCTGTAACTGCAGAAAATCCTGCTTCACAAAGATAGGATGTTATAAATAGGATGAGTCTTGAACTGAATTAACCTGTGTCAAGAGGCACAGATGCACCGACTGATGTCATTGGGAGAGAATACCGCAATTTTTTATATTTTTCAAAATAAAACATCACTCAGACTCTGATCGATAAATTAAATATATATACACTTTTTTCTCTGCGGTACCAAATGACAGACGGACCGGTACCGGTCCGCGGCCCGTAGGTTGGGGACCGCTGCTTTAAAGAACTTAGTCTTTTATTGTGAATTAATGTTAACACATGCAGAATCTAGGAGAGCACATACAGTCTGTTTAACTTTGCACTTAAAATATTTCACCTTAAATAGTAGAGTTTATTTAAGGAATGTGTTAAGGTTAAAAATCTATTTGCTTTTTTTGTTTTTATGATCTTTAAAAGTATTCTTTTTACAGCATAATTTCTCACATTTTCTAATATTACAGCACAGTAACAAGATCAAATATTAAAGGTTGACATACTAAGACAAAGCTATATTTTTTTAATCATTGTATAATTTCTAAAAACTGGGAAAGTTTTTTTGTCCACAGCCATTTTGATGAGAGTTTTTTTTTTAAGTTGTTGAATAAAAATTTTATTCCAGATCGAAGTGTTCTGCTAATACTTGCAAATTCTCCAAAAAGAGAAAATCACTATTTTTAAGACCTTTAATTTTATCAATGAGTCTTTGGTGGTATCTTAGTATTTTTTCATTTAGAACAAGTAGCTATAACAATGTTAAATTAAGTTCTGGCTTATATAAAGACCAAAAAACTTGCTTGAAGAAATCAGTTATTCATCTAATTAGAAGTAATGTGTGGAACGGCACAACAATGAAGATGGCCAAATAAAGGCTGTCTCTTTTAGAAAGTAAAGACCAGTAGGTTGCATCTTGTTTTTCTGACACCCACATTTACTGAGCAGAGCGTCGTTTCCTCCAACAGGTTTTTCATGCTGTTATCAGCTTTCATTTCCTTTTCTATATCATGGTATTGTATTTTAGGAGCCAGAGACAACGCAGAAACAGATCAACCGGGGGTTGGAGTAGATCCTGACCCACCACTCTTTCCGAGTCCACCTCCCCGAAGACCAACAAAGTAGTGAGTTCTAAATGATAAAACCCACAGCTTCTTAAAATGGGATTTTTTGCTCTTCAAATACAACTTAGATGTGTATACTGTATTGTCTCAATTTTGGTCAGTGGTTTCAATATGGCCATCCTACTGGTGAGCACAATGCCAATTTGTGGTTTTTCATAATGCGTCAGAAGGCCCTTTCTCACAGCTGAATAAAAATAAAACATACAAACAACAGTGATGTAAGCAGGTTTCTGAGAAACCAAATGCTTTTAGAAAAAAAACACCAGGGTCCTGAATGTAGATAAGCTAGGACTGGACCATTAGACTTAGAGCAGATTTTTATTTTTCCTGATTCATTCCTTTCAAAGCCACTTTTAGTACTACTACTACTAATAATAATAATAATGATAATAATAATATAATAATAATATTTGAATCCTAGTAGAGCACAAGCGCACTACTCTAACCACTACGCCAACACTCCCCCAATGTGTTTTATTATGTGTTTCTAAACATTGTTCTTCTTAACCGCCCAACTTTGTCCAAGTTAAAGCTATAATGGAGGGTTTTCTTTTTCTAGGTGGATCATCAAAACAAGTGGTCCACCTAATTGTCAATCTTTCTCGTGATATGTTTACGTAAGGCCGTCCTACGTGCTCGTCCCCATTTTCACTTACTTGTGTTAAGTTTTATGTTAAGAAATACCTGCCCGCTGAGAATGACCTCACCTGTCACACATTGAAGAGAAAATTGATTGAAATATCTAAAATGGAGCTTTAAACATATTCTGAATGTTTTCATATTTCTTATGTATGGATGCCCTGAAAGTAAGAGTGTTGGTGGACAGATAAATTCGAATGAAGACAATTTTTACTTGTAAGGAGACATGTTTCAGTCGATGTGCTACAGTCAGTGTCAGACGAATATATTATCTGCTCAGTGGATAACATTTTCCGCTTTTGTTGTCAACACCATTATATATCATTTCTGACAAAACATTAAGAATATGTTGAAAAGTTCCCTTTTGTACATATTTCAATCAGTTTTCTTATTGTTCTGTTAGAGTTTAGGGTGTTTAACGCTCCGGTGACAGGGGAGCAAATTCTCAGCAGTCAGGTATTTCTTTATATTTATCTATCCACCAAAATTCTCCATTTTAGGGCATCAATGCATAAGAAATATGAAAACATTAAGAATATGTTTAAAAGTTCCCTTTTTGTTCACATTTCAATCCGTTTTTTCCTCAATGTGTGAGAGGGGAGGTAATTCTCGGTAGGCAGGTGTTTCTCTGCATAACAGCGGTGGTAAGTCTGACACACAGAAGTGGAAAAATTGCAAATCTTCTTTGGGAAAGTAAGTTTGTATGAGCGATGCAAACAGAAACTTTTAAACAGAGTGTGCATAAGGAGAAATGGGCTTGTGCACGCTGTCAAACAGGTTTATTTGGCGTCCCTTCTCAGGAGCAGGTACAGGGTTGAGCATGTGCATTTTTTTTTTATAAAATGGAGAGGGCTGGTCTTTTAAAAAGTTTCCGAAAATCCTCCACTATACCTTTAAATGTTAGAATTTACAAGTCATTCATTGTCTAAAACGGCTATTGGCTCTGGCTCATGGCTTCTCCGGCAATGGATTGGTGCAAGGTGGGATACGCCATGAAACTATTGTCAGTCAAGCATAGGCAGCACAGGGACACACACAAGATAGCCATACATCCATACTGTCATACCTAACAACAGACAGTATTCCGTTACCCTGACAGCCATATTTTTTTATATTGGAGGCTGCAGAAAGAGTTCAGGATTTGAACCTTGGACCATAACAGAGCATGATGCTACTACCAACATGCTTGACAGCTGCTACTGTGCTGCTATTTAAAAACATAACCTCTGACCAACCAGTTCAAGTCTTGTTTCATCTAACCTTCAATAATTGTCTCCAGTAGACATTTGGTTAGTTTATCCATTTAAGCCTTAAGGTGTAGATTTTGGAGGAGATTTTATTGCGTGTCACCAATTTAGTCTATGGCTTTACAACAAACAGAAACATTGTTCTTTGCAGCATCTTCCACCTTATGGTAGGCTTGAGACTTTTGGTATCTGTGATGTTCTTTGATATCCTGCATGGCTTTCTTTCATGGGAAATATTGGTTCATATTGTTAAATCCAGACAGTTAGTATTTCATTTTGAAAGTGATGCTTAAGACACAAAATAGTTTTAAAATGGATAAAGCATGCAAATATCTCCACAAAAACATACACACTTTACATGAGCTCTATATCTTCAGATAAGCATTAATTAAAAACATTAGGCAATGATTTTGCCAGACGATTGTTGATTGCTTGCTATAAAAAGTGTGCTGTCTCTACAGGTTTTAAAACAGATTTATCCAAGCATTAGTTGGAGTGTGAATATTAGGTATTTCAACCTTTGTGTTTCATTTTTTTTTCCTCTGTCACAAGTACAGAGCAACAAAATGAAATCTCTGCATTTAGCTCATCCCCTTGGGGAGCAGTGGGTCGCTATTGTGCGGCACCCGGGGAGCAGTGTTGGGTTATGGGTCTTTGATCAGGGACCCAGAGTGGCAGTCCGTGGGAGTAGGGCAAGAGCAGCACCCTAATCACTACTCCCAAAAGCAGGTATTAGCTTGAAGGGTCTTGCAACTCCCCCCCAGTGTATGAACCCAGGCCTCCTGTTTGCAGGACAGGTGACTTATCACTTGAGCTAGCCAGCCACTTGAAACTTTGGAGGTTAAACTCGTTTAGGGATTAAACTCAACATTTGAATCAAACTTGTGGACCCAATTATTGTTTTAGCTTCTTTTTTCAGTTCCTAAGTTGAACTGATATTATGTAATATGTGTCCACTGCAAAAACAACATAAAAACAATTTGTAAATTTTTATGTGTATGAAAACTACCAGAAGTCTAGCAGATCGGAGTCATAAGAAATCCATATCACGCCTGACTGTGGTCAAATTTGATTTTTTTGCACCATCTAGTGATGTTTTAGTGAAACAGCATTTTAAAAGATACAAAAAATCTGAGTGACTTGAGTTTTGACTAAACTTTCTCTATTCTAGCCCTGAGCTTTCATTCAATGAGCGATGTCAGGGAAGCTTTGATGCAGTAGCAAACATCCGTGGAGAGGTGTTCTTTTTCAAAGGTAAAAATGACCACATAAAGAAAAGTTTGCTCTATGTGTGTTAAAAAATTTATAATTTCAGCCGTTTATTTTCTTTTTAAGGTGAACATTTTTGGAGAACTAAACGAGATGGCTCATTGGTGTCCTTACGGCCAGCTTTGATCACCAACTTTTGGATGGGTCTTCCAACCGGAACGAAGGTGGACGCGGTTTATGAGAGAAAGATTGACAGCAGAATCATCTTCTTTATTGGTAAGGGTGGAAAAATAGCAGCGTCAGGAGTCCATGCTGCTCTGGCCGATGTTGTAACTTAATATGCTGCTTTGAGCAGAAGATGTAGTTCTTTAGAGGTTGTAGTTAATTTGGCTGACGTGTTTGTTCTTTTTCAAAAGGAAGCTGGGAAGGAGTTTCAGTTCAGAGTAGCATGTCAGCATGCAGCAGTTCGCTCAAATACGCATGAAGGAACCAAACCCTTGTAATAAAAGCTTCCTCAGCTTAAAGATTAATAGGTTCATTAATATGACTTTTTTACTCACTCAGTAATTTTAAATTTGGACATGTGGACTAAATTTTAAAAAGTAAATCCTGATAAAAACAGTTATCAACACTGGCATGCAAAGACAACTGATAAGAACAACACTGGCATGCACAGACTTTTTAAAAGCCACAGGGCGGAAGGAAAGAAAGAAAGGTTACATATAGCATATCCTCTTCACTATAGAGGCCACTATAGCATTTTATTTTGGCTCCCGAGAAGGCACTTTAGCTAGAATTTTAGCTCCAAAGGCAGATCTGTTGCACAATTTGGCTCCCTAGAGGGAATTTTAGGATGCATTTTGGTTCCATAGGGGGGTTACTTAAGCATACATATTTTGGCTCCTGATAGAGCACTTTAACTTGTATGTTGCTCGAAAGGGGTCAGTTAAATACATGTTTTGGCATGTGTTAGGGCTACTGAGTGGGCAGTTAAGCTTGTGTTTTTCATAACCCCCCAACCCCCTGCACACCATTGTCTATCAGTATATAGGAAGTATCTTGTAAAAGTTTTCACATCTCTTAGCAGAATAGTTAAGGTCATTATCCTGCTGCTACTACTAAAGTGTCAGTCGGCTCATTAAAGAATGTTTTATTTGTAAAGGATCAAATAAAAAGGCTATTTTAAAGATATTTTCCTTTAAAAACTTACAAAATTTCTATTGTTTTATCGCTCTTTTTCCTCTACTTCACTGTCACAAAAGGCTTTGTTTTGTTCTGTCTGATAAAATTTCAACAAAACCGATGTCATTTTGTGTTGTTATGTCACATTATTTGCATAAGGTCAAGAGGTATTAATACTTTCACAAGGTACTGGGTCGAACCGTAAGTGTTTTCAACCCATCTATGTTTCCTCCTTGTGTTAAGGTTCTCAGTACTGGGTATTCAAAGACACAACGGCAATGAGTGGTTACCCCCGGCCCCTCTCAGATTGGAAAATGAGGACGCAGAGCGGTGAGCTGGTGGACAGGGTGGACGCTGCCTTCATCTGGGCCCACAATGGCAAGACCTACCTGTTCAGTGGGGGGCAGTTTTGGAGGTTTGATGAAAGCCAAAATCGTGAGGGGGTGATCAAGGAGCCAGATCCACAATATCCTCGCACTAATGACCTCTGGGGAGGAATGCCAACCCACATGGATGATATCATCACCTGGGGTGAAGGTAACATCATTTTCAGTTGTACAAATATGCTGTGAATGTGTCTTATAAGCTGCGGGTAGATACATCAAACTATGTCATTATGTGGATGACACCAACATGTCTGTGAGATGTGGAAGACAAGGAAAGAAAGCATGTAATCAATGCAGTGGAAGATCAAAGTGAAGATAAGATGTTCCAAATAGGATTATGGTGCATAGGGGTGTGTGTTCAGTTCAGAAAGAACCTAAGAACTTTTCAGCTAAGACACACTTGCTATAGTGATCAGATTTAATGTATGTGAATACAGCCCAGATGTGTAGAAGAAGGAATACATCTAAAAGTTGTAGGACAGGCTCCCAAGGACTCTACCTTGCCAATCTTACCCTTCATTTATGTATACTGTAAATACATAATTAAAATGTGGGGAAACTGGATCAGAACAGAGAAATTCTACTGGCTCTGCAGTGGTTCCTTAGCAGTAAAACTTCCTTCAGCAATGTTTTTCGTCCAATAAACTGGGACCACACACTTAGCACAGCATTTAAATAGTAAATTTTTCTTCATTTAGCATTTATGTAATAGATATATAGGTTTACAAATCATCAGGCATTAAAAATATCTTAGATATCTTAAATTTATGTTTAGATTAAATAATTCCCTTGCTTTTATAAATATATAATCTAATGGTTTCTTTTAACTCTTGTCAAATGGGTCCAAACAAATTGCTGACTGGCACAAAACTTTAGCAATTCACTAAAAGTTGCTGCCATTGTTGCTCATCAGGAGATGCCTACTTCTTCAAAGACAACTTCTACTGGGTGCTCGAGAACGGAGGAATAAACCAGGAATACGTCTCTCCTAAGTCCACCTCCATAGACTGGCTCCGATGTCCAGCTCCTCCCACAACGTCCACTCCAGAGATTCCTGGAAATCCAAAGCAATGTGTCTGTGCCTTCAACAGATCGCCTCTGTCTCTCAGGAGCGACTGTCTGATCCTGATTGCTGTTACAATGATAATTAATAGGCTAATGTGTGTAAATAATTAGAGATGTGTACTGTAGTTATTTTAAGAGTTGTTTTTTCTATTTCGGGATTACAAATATAATAGTTTAACGTCATACTGCCCTAGATTACATAATAAAGGTTTCACTTGGACAACATATCATATTACAGTTATTGTCTCTTAGAATGGCTCATAGACGTCCCTAAAATAGAAAAGCTCCCCCATTTTGCTTTGTGTGTCTCTTTGGGATAGACCGATATTTAACACTTTTATGCATCAGGTGGGGCAGTCCTTTCACATCATAAGATTTTATCTAGACAGAAGAGAAAAGTGGTGGCAATGGTCTTAGGACAGTGAGATCCAGACCTCTGTATTTTCCTTCTGTGTATAGAGCACCTGTGCACCACCCATGTGCATCACGCACTGCCAAAAGAACATCAATTGCCAGGGGAGCCACCAAAAAGATCAGGCTCATAGAAAATAATGATAAAATCCACAGTACCAACACACTTAAAACAAACACGCAAAAGCAAAAAACACGTTCATCTGTCAAATTAATTTTTTTTATATGTAGAAGTACAAACTTTGGGGATGCTTGGTTTTGATAACAGCAATTTTGTCTTTCTACTGAATTAAAAAAAACAGGTTTTATGGGGTTTTTTTTTAGTAGTTGTACCATAAAATATACCATTGTGCTTAAAATTTGCATACCCTCCCATTAAAAGAAATGATACATTCACACTAGTAATTCAAATGACAAAAAGCAAAAAAAAAAAAAAAGTAATAATGTACATTTTCTAAATGTTATTTTAGTAAAATAAAATCTGGATTTCAAATGTTTGTTTAAAAATAATTTAAAAAAATAAACTGTTCCAGACAAATTAAAGTACGTTGCTCAGCAACAGTGAACCAGCATACCTGTCAACAGGTGCAGAAGTCTGACAGAAAACACCTGATTTCAGTGATTGCCTCAAAGCGTTGCTCAACAAAATTTTAGTTCAAGAGCTCCATCAAGCTTACTTACTTACTTGTTTTATCTATATACATACTGTATATGTTTATATTTTTTAATTAATAATTATTTTTGTCAATTTCTATTTATTTTTCTGCCAGCTGTTTTTTTTTCTTTCTTTAATGGACAGGTATGTAAACTTTCAAGCACAACTCCATGCATTAGTTGATACAGCACGGATTATTTATATTTGCATTTTTAATGGCTGTCAGTATTTTCTGAAAGTGTGGTTGTAGCCTTAGTTGCATTGTTTTCATTTGATTTCCACATCTAGTTTTTTAAATGTTTTGTTTAGAAATGAATTAATCTGATTATTTAAAGGTTTATGATGTTTTGTTTCTACAATTTGAAATATAATAGGGTTTTGTACATTTTGCAGACGTTCTCATTACTTTCTAAGCCTGTTTGTAAACCTCAAAGATGTGCTTGTTAATTATCGAAATCAGCTTTTTTTCTTTATAATGCTTTGGTTATATCAGGTTAAATAAAAGGTTTGCAACAAAATGCAATGGACAACTTTAAAATAAATCTCAAAGATTTAATACTTAGAGATAGACTGTTAAGATTTATTTTAACGAAGCAAAAAAATTACTATAGAACATGATTTTAAATACTAGAAAAAGCAATCAGAAGCGATTCCCTATTTGCATTTCTTTTTTTCTTTTTTTTCATTCACAAGAGGACTTTTGTGCATTGGGTATTTTGCCCGATTATCTAACTGAGATATCCTGAACCCTTTTCTTGGAATTTAGGTTACTTTCCAGAACTTTTTATATCCCTGTTACTTTGAGGCCAAACAATGCTGGTTTGCTGTTTATTAAACAGACTTTGCCCTTACCTGCAGAACCCCCACCCCAGCAACTACTCTGAAGTCCAGAGCAGGCTTGGAAAAAGAATATGAAATCATCACATTGTTTTATCGTGGTTATGATTTAAGACCAAAGTACATTAAACAAACTGCACCAATTCTGTTCTATTCAGATGTTCATGAATAAAAGAAAGAGTAAAATGTTTGTCATTGTAAAAGGGTTTGGTTGCAGCAAGTACACATTAAAGTGTATGTAGATTTCCACCAAAATACAAATGATAAACATTAACTGCATTTTAAGGACACCTTGACATCATAAATTTTATTATATATCACTTGAAGTTATTTCCTGTGCTGTTTATAAAAATGTTAAGCAACAGGCATCATTCATGAACTTTCTACTCTATGCCTTGGTTGTAAACCAAAAAGCCAGTTACTTCAGTGTTTGCTTAAAGTGACTGGCTGTAAAAAAGTTTAAACTGCATGAAAGAATACCTGCGTTTTTTTTTACTGTAAATTTCCACCCATTAAACAGTTGTTTACAGCAATATACTCACAGAGGCAGGGTACACCTTGCACAGGTTTGAAAACAATTCAAACACAGACACTCTCCTAAATGTAGTTTTGAGAGACAAATTAATGTAAGGTGTATATTGTTTGGACTATGGGACTACAGGTTGGAATTTGAATCCAGGATTGTGTTTACAAATTCAGCCGTTATGCAGCTCCTCAGTAAATTTCCAAGGTGTTAGCTGGATTTCACCCTGCAGTCCAGATAATTGAAGTGAAAGAGAACTCCACTAGATCATGACAAAGAAGTCTGCTCTGAAACACATCTGCAGTGACTCATTTGATGTATTCATTTGTTTAAGGGGATTGTAACACATTTCAGACATTAGTTAGACTTCTCTCCTTAGAGATAGATTGTATTCCGTTAAACTTGGTTCAGTGTAAAAAAAACAAACAAAAAACTTCAGTTTTTGAGCTGAAAGTTACCCCTGAGAAACTGTTAAATATAGGAACAAAAATAACAGTGATATTAAGTCAGTTCTGAAAACCAAGACAGTTGTAATTTTTTATTTTATCAAGTGAGTTGCCAGTACTTATATATTTAAGTTGTTGTTAATTTCAAAGGGTAAAAGTTTAGCTTGCTTTCATATTTTTATTTTGAAATGAAGGAAAACCAACTTTTGGAGTTGGCTTTGGTGTTAGCTTGAGGATTAAAGGTATAGTGAAGGATTTTTACGAATTTTTGATAAAAGATCTGCCCTCTCCACTTAAAAAAAAAAATGCACATGCACAACCCTGTATCCGCTCCCGAGAGAGAAGGTATATTAAACGTGTGTGAGAGCCCATTTCTCATTATGCACGCTCTTTTTAAAAGTTGCTGTTTGCATCAATACAAGCTTACTTTCCACAAGAAAATTTGTATTTTTTTCCATTATGTCAGACTTGTCATAGTGGAAAAATTGGGGATAAGCACGGCCTTATGTAAACATCTCACCAGAATTATTGGCAATTAGGAGGACCACTTATTTTGATGATCCACTCGGAAAAAGAAGACCCTCCACTATACCTTTAAGTTGAAAGTCAACCTTTAGTTAAGGTACCAGGAATCAAGTTTTGGCACTGCTGAGGGGTAGCCTAGTTGTTAACGAACACAGCATTTGATACTTGGAGCTACTATAAAGACCAAAGGTTAAAAACTCAGGGTGAAATGGTAGATTACAAATTTCCCCACTTAGGTATAATAAGCTCTACATAAAAAGGATGATCTTAAGTAAAAGTTTCTTATTTGTGGTTTAATCAATTGGTCACCATTACTTTCAAATAAGTTGGAGGGGAAAAAAACAGCATTTCAACTAAAAATAACACAAAATTCTAAGATTGGTAAACTTAGAAGCGAAACTTAAATGATTAAGTTAAAGTTCTAAACTTTAGAATTTGCTGAAGGGGTATGCCTTAACATCTTGAGTTTTACCCACTTTTCTGTTTTTTACAGTGAAGTTAAGCTGGGCTGCTTTTTAAAGTGTAAATGATTGGGCTTCAATGGAGTAGGAGACTAAATGACAAACAGATGATTTAAAAAACAAGGTAGATACCATGAAAAAAAAGTTTGGATAGCATTTTTGCTTATCTCTATCGTCTATGCTGTGCTTCACATAAGTGAAATTAACCACTAGTCGGGGGTGTTGAGCACTACCAGTAAACCAAACCAATCTAACAGCATTATTTTAAAAGAACATTTCCAGAGAAAAAGTAGCTCATAACTATATAATGCTGAGCCTCAGGTGCTTTCCACCATTTTTCTCTCTCTTGGCAGGGAGGGGCTAAGCTGTCAGATGAAGTATTCACATAGATGCATAAAAAAACGTCACAGAGTTGGGGATGATCTAATTTACTGCTGCACAACTAACCCAAACAAGTGATGGTTATTGTCATCCTGACTACACTCCCCTCCCAAGCCATTACACAAATGCACAGTATGCGTGGCAATTTCCCTCAAGTACATTCTGAAGATTCTCAACTGAAACTCCTATCCATTTAGTTGAAGATCATAAGATCGTGGTGTCAAAATTGGCTGCAGGGGCATACTTGCATACCTCAAAAAACTTGGCAGGTGATGGCTGTTTAACCTGAGGAACACAGTCAACTCTTTCTCAACTCTCATTAACCCTGTATTTTAATGAAATATTAGTAATCATAGACTTTAAATAAAAGGAAACATTGAGAGATTTCCATCCTACAGATTGATTCCAGTTTAAACTTTCCAGTTGTGTCAAATTTACTTAAAGACCCTTCCTTTTTATAATTCAAACATGTTTAACTATGAGACTTTTTTTTTTTTTAAATCTCACTGTGTTTGTTGGTTGAAATGAGTTCAAAATATGGTAAAATTTGTTTTAATGGCCTTCATAATCAGGTGGGCAATGTCATTTAAGGGATAGTTGCAGTTTGAGGTGAGTTTCTGTGAAGGTGCATGATAGTTCCCGTAGCTGTATTAGACAAGCATCACATCACAATAAGCTCCCATAAAATTAAATTCAGTTTCTAATCTTACCTTCCTGTCAGTGTTGCAGTTAAGTTCGCATTTTCCAAAGACTTTTATAAGAAAATAAGCAGTGGTTTACTCAGTTGCGTAACTTCCAAGCAGAGTCTGTTCTCTGGCTGGTAGGTAATCACTCTGTGTCACACACCCCTCTTTGCCTAGGGCAAGAGAAATGCAAATATATATACATGTATAAAAAACTAAGATACTTTGCCTCAATCTTAGAACTTGTGCTTTATTACAACCTGAAAGCATCCACTCTTAAAGTTCATAAACCTACTCTACACGAACAAGCATAACCTCCAAGCTCTAGACGGTTGTAATTTATAAGACAAAGATCAAACAGCCATGAGACAAAATTTTCCACAACTGTTAAGGACAAGATAAAGTCCAAACTTCACATCCTGTTCCTGCGCAGGCAACCTGAGGAAGTTTCCTTAAAAGTGTCAGTTCAGGATAAAATAAAAGCTCAGATTAAAACCTGAAGTAGTATGGGTGCTCTTTATACGTTCCTGGAATAAGTTAGAAAGATTTCTGTAATCTGCCAGTGCAATGCAAGCAACTCCTGCTCCTTAACAGCCCACGAATCACTGGGTGAGCATTTACTGTAAAAACCAGTGTGCAGAAGGTTCTGGTTCAT